TTAATATTTATTGTACTGAATTTACTTGTAAAATATTTTCTTTAAGTAAGCATTAAAAAACATTCTGTCCACACAATATGATGTAGATTTTTGTTGTTGTTGTATTACAGAAATGAAGACTGTGGGGTTAAATGCAAAAAAAAAAAAAAATCTTAATGGTCCATAAACAGGCTTAATTTTCTTTATGCAAAATAGAATTTCATATTTTTCTTTATTTTCGTTCAAAAGTGACTTAAAAACATTACCTCAACAAGGTCAAGTATTTAGGTTAGAGGGCAAGTGTAAAGATCACACTTGGAATGTGGATAGACAGAAATCAGCTAATGTATTTCTAAATTACATCACTATATCACAAAGCCTAAGTTGGCCATGACACACAAACTCAGGCCTCCACTGAAGCTCTGCTATAGCATTTAACCAACATTTTTGTGCTGCAATCAGTGTCAAAAGTAGAATTTTAGCAACTACCTTCCTTTTCTCCCCTAACTTCTGTTTTAAAAATCTGAAAAAGATCATGACTGGCTAGTCATGCTTCGGTAAAGAGCTGCATGTCAAACATTTACCAAGCACTTCTTTGTATTAACATTATTTGTAGTCTATATTCAATTGTTTAACTAAAACAAGCCCTCAAACAAATTATCTTTGTCTAGCTGTTGTGTGGTCTGTTCCATTGCATCACAGTTGGCTGATTTTAGGACTCCGTGTTACCAGATGCCTCTGTTATATTTGAAGCAACACAAACTGAAGCCCTCAATACCAGGTGGACACCTTAAAGGGTTAGTTCACCCAAAAATGAAAATTAGCCTGTGTTTTACTCACCCTCAAAGCATCCTAGGTGTATGTGACTTTCTTCTTTCAGACGAATCCAATCGGAGTTATATTAAAAATTGTCCTTGCCCCTCCAAGCCTTTCAATGGGGGTAAGCGGGTGTTAGTTGTCAACAGTTCAGAAGACGTGAAATAAAGTGCGTGCATCCGTAATAAAACGTAAGACGTATGCGTCGTGTGCGCGCCTCTGAGAAATGCAGGAGCAAAGGAAACAACGTTTCTTGGCTTATATCAAAATTCTCCGACATTTTTCTTTACAAATCCTCGTTTTGTGCTTCTAATTCGTGAACGGCGTTATGTTTTGTCTCGGCGTTCGTCACTAATCACGCAACACCGACGTCTTACGTCATCCGCCTGAACGTCTTACGTGTATGACAGTCAACGGAAGTGTGAAAAAAGCGTTTTTTACGTTTGAAATATGGATATTTATCTTACAAAAATGCATGGACTCGCTACAGGAGGCCTTTATTCACCCCCCGGAGTCGTGTGAGGGACGTTTTATTACAGATGGGCGCACTTTATTTCACGTCTTCTGAACTGTTGACAACCGACACCCGCTTACCCCCATTGTAAGGCTTGGAGGGGCAAGGACAATTTTTAATATAACTCCGATTGGATTCGTCTAAAAGAAGAAAGTCACATACACCTAGGATGCTTTGAGGGTGAGCAAAACACAGGCTAATTTTCATTTTTGGTTGAACTAACCCTTTAAGCTTCCACATTTATGTGCATTCATTCCACAATGAGAGACACCGAGGCAAAGTGAGAAATGGACATTCAGTCTTTTAGAAGTAGATTGTAATCCCCACACTGGGGAGATGTGGGAGTTGTTTGATGATGGAAATGGAAATCCCCCGGGAGTGTGAAAATGCACAATTATCTAATGCTTTCGCTTCTGTCGCGCTGCCGCTGCACTTTATATGCATTCCTAAGTATACTGTACTACAAATTTAACTGTGAGAAAGATAACAAGCACACTAAAAAGGCCGAAAAGTGTAGTGCTATTATGAGAAACTGCTGCTGATCTTTGTTCTGTGTGGACATCGTGAGAAGTTTTTACGAGCTTAGACATTGAGGCACTTCAGCATTAACCAAAACGAAACCGTAACTTGCGCAATTCAAGATGTGGAAGACATTTTTGATTAAATCATGTTTTACTAGCGACTCCTGAACAAATCCTTTATGTTGAGTCGGATGTTTTTGATGAATCATTTGAACCGGTTCACTAAACCGGGCCTGAAGGAATCTTTCAGGAATCAACAACTCACCAAATCAGCAAGTGCCATGGCTGTGTCTAAAATTGCTACATCTTTATATAGTGCACTATCTGAGGATACAACCATTTGTAATGGTGTATGAAACCATAGTGAATATTATTGTGTGCACTCATATAACCCCATAATGCACCTTGATAACAAGTGTACAGCTGATGTACACTCAACAGCTAGCATGCGCTGTGTGGTGCCAAATTAATTCAGAAAAAGACGTCACACTCAGTGTCCAAATTCGCTCACTTGTTTTCATTCACTCATACAGTGTATTAGTGTATTACTGTAGGAAATAGTGAATAAGGGACGATTTCGGATACAGCCAGTGTTGGGGAGGAACTAATAACAAGTAATGGAATTACCTAATTTAATTACACATTTTTTAAAACTGTAATCTGTTACAGTTACTGAGAATTTTTTTGATAATTTAATTGCAGTTACATATGAAAATGTTAAAGATTACAAAGGGGGTTACATCTGAATATTTTCACACACATACAGATTTGATTGATTTCTTTCCCAAATTGCATTGACTGCTCTAAAATATGAGACACCAATGTTTCAGGAGTTTAGGACACATGCTTAATCGATAACTGTTTTATTTACAATTTGGGTTTATGTATATGCTTTATTTTTTAAGATTAACTGTTTTTTGTGATCCCTGTGTCATAGCTATGCAAAGATTTGATTTAAAGAATGGTATCATAGCTATTAAACTATATCTTGTTATGATTTTAAATCTGCATTTAACCTCAGAATGATCTGGCCGTGCTTTCAAGTTAAAGTATTATAATCTTTATTCAAGTGACGAAGGATTTTGAAAGTTTGACAGAAATCAGAGTACTACTGTAAGGTTAACCCTGCCTGCTTGAAATGTTTCAAAATGATCAACGGAAATGTGAAATTTAGAAAAGTGATCCAAAAGTAATCAGTTACATTACTTTAATAAAGTAATTGAAATAGTTAAACTATTTATTGCATTTTAAATAGGGTAACTTGTAATCTGTAACCTATTACATTTCCAAAGTAACCTTCCCAACACTGGATCCAGCCCATATCTTTCAGATTCATTTACAAGATGAGAATCGATCTGAGGATTTAAATGATGGGAAGAACAGCTGCTATACAGAAAATAAAGATAAATAAAACGTACTCGAATATGTTTATGACTTGACAGTTTTATCAACATGCATATGAGCCTGTTTGAATAAATAAAACATGCAAAACTACACCCTTGACGCGCATACAGTCGCATTTACAGTTGCGTATTGTAACAGCACATTATATTTAAGTTCTGAATGACTTTATTAATAAAACCAAGTCAAAACGGTAATAAGCAATACTGCATGTGTCTACTCTATAGTGAACACAGTAAAAGCGTGAAATACGTCAGAGACCCGCGTGACGTACAGAATCACAAGTGATTTTTGAAACAAACTATTCGAAAGAACCGATTCTGCGAAACGAGTCACTAAAAAAAGGGACAAGCAAAGTAACAATAAGCAGTGTTGAGGGTAACTCATTACAAGTAACGCGAGTTACGTAATCAGATTACTTTGTCAAGTAACGAGTAAAGTAACGCATTACTTTTTTAATTTACAAGAAAATATCTGAGTTACTTTTTCAAAAAAGTAATGCCAGTTACTTTGTTTTCCCATTTATTGACGGACAAGTCTCCTGTCCCCATATCGGGAGAAATCGGGAGTACAGAGGCGCTGTGTGCGCTGTGTGAACCTGATGTTACTGTAGTTCTAGACTAAATGTGAATGTGCATTAATTCATCCCACTCCCAAAACACAGATTTAGTATTCATCAAAATGAATTAAAACAGTGAAATGCAAACTCAGAATATGACGCAAACCTGCAATAATTAAATATGTTAAATAACACAAATGTATCCAATCCCGTTTTATTAATCAATGTCTTTGCTGCTGACCTTTGATGATCCAGTTCAACCATACTAATACATTACTTTTAAAAGTAACTTTCCCCAACACTGACAATAAGTGAGTAAAATAGAATCTGTGCGGCACGCAGTCCAACGCCCACGCGTTGCCCACGCACACGAGTGTAAACAATGACAGTTAAGCACCATAAACAACACCACATATACTGTACAGATACTGTAAACGCGCGACTGCGCACAATGGCAGCGCGCTGTTAGTGTGGCGACGCGCCGGCTGTGCAAAAGTCGCGTAATATTAAACGTAATATCGCGATATAAAGAAGAATATCGCGTTATTCTTGTAAAATCCTCACATAAAATCCACTTCAGAGCGTCGGTGGATGAAAGCGCATGCAAACACTGTTTTCTAGACAGATTCGCTTCAGAAACGCCCCTTCACGGCTTTAAAATGGCAGCAGCACATGAGGAGCTCATATTTCCCTAATTCTTACCCCTTCACGAATCTATTTACCTCGGATGCATGCCGTGTATGTATATAGAAGAGCAAGATCTGAACGCAAACGACGAATGGTTACATAACAACAGCTACAAGCAAAACGAAATTGAATTCTAAACAAACCCACTCCCTAGAATCTAACTTTGATCATGCTATATATATATATATGTGTGTATGTGTGTGTGTGTGTGTGTAGTGCTATACGCCCATATTTTGCATCTCAACAACATTCACCGATTTTAACCCATAAGCGACGCGCATCATAATTTCACTACAAGCCAAAAAAAAAGTAAAATAAAAGACTGTCACTTAATAATATTCCCATTTGCATTTAAAAATAAAAACAAGCAGCCTAAAATCTCTAGCAGTTTACACGTTCGCTCCCTCCCCCACTTTTCCTCCCATGCCATTATTATCATTACATACAATAATGCAACCCCTTCAATACAAGAACAACTCAACAAGCGCGCAATAGGAAAATAAGACACTGGAAACTCACATACCCATCCATTGCACAGAGCAAAACAGAGGCGAGGTGAAATAACAATGCAAGCACAGGAAAATAAAGAAAGGGTGCTGCTGTTACAGTTCGACTGCCCAACACAAATTCAGTCTCTCTGGCACAAAGGCACGCACACACTTCCTGCTCCTGACGTGAACACACACACACACACACACACACATACATGTACAGACGCTTCTCTATACAAAATGGCCTCCCCTTTCAGCAGACACACCTTTGAAGAAGCGCGTAATATTTTTGTTGCTGGACGTTTTGTTGAAAGCACCAAACTAGAGTGCGCATTGACGCGCGACAACAATAAGTTCTGCGCGTCCGCTATTTTCAAGCCCAGCGCGTGGTTTGGGATCATGTGTTGATGGTATCTGCACTAGGAGCTCTATAGAGGATAATCTTGTTGCTGGAATATATTTATTCATTAAGGTAATGGGCCTTGGGGAAGCGCTTTAAGAGCTTGACACTTGCATTAAACACGCAGTCGATACATTCATTCTGCTTTCCGAGGGTCAGACTTCCTGGAATGAACTGCTTATCAAACATATGAAGCTTTCTGATGCATTGAATTATTGATTAATAAATAATGTCCCCGTTTGTTTTTTAAACAATGACTATTTTTACGCGCGTATCGTATGAGGGAGGGCAGCAGTGAAGATGGTATCCTCTCTGTACCTGAAGCGTGTAAGAACTTGTTACACTTGTTGGACCGGCTGAACTGCAGTCTTGTGCTTGCATTGGAGAGTGTGTGTGTTACAAAAAGTACATTCGTTGCCTAAACTATTAGGCTATTCCAATGTATTGAGAGTATGAATCAGTGCAGTAGTTTTAATGCAGTAGTTTATACCAGGGGTCTTTAAAGTGGGGTCCCCCAGAGGGCCGCTAGTGCTAGGGGGTCTGTGGAAAAGTTCAAAGTGAAAAACAGTGTAAAAGAAATAATGAACTAAAATTAAACAAATTTTATTAAACAAAATAAATACATTTTTATTAAAATAAATATGTTATTCTAATTAATAAATAATTTATGAACTAAATGGATAAATAAATATATAGATATATTTACTTTAAATACAAATGATGAAATGAATGAGTAAATAAATGTGATCAGCAGTACAATAGTATAGCAATGAAAAACGAAATATATTCCAAATACAGTTTTCAGATTTATACTATTATTAATTGGGATTGAAAAGATATAGCTGCCGTAAATGTTAGGAAGGGTCCCTCGCGCAAGGATGATCATATTTAGAGGAGCTTGAAAACCCATGGATTACAGTGTCTGCTTGACTGAGAGACTGTGGAGGTGTTTACATTACGATCTTGAAACAATCGCACGTTGTTAGGGTAACAAAAATATTGGGAACAATAATATTATAAATCACAATAGATGACAAACAAGACACAGGGTGTAGGAAACCCAGGGGAATGAAAGCAAAACAAACAATCGCAAGGAAACAAATTGAGTAAATAATTGAGTTAAATATTATGTATTGCAACAATTTCTATTCAGATGACATTACTTCGACCACAGCTCTCCAACACACCAGAGGGAGATAGAGAATAAAGATAGCTAAATGAATACAGAGAATGAGAAAGAGATCTTTGTAGTTTTCATTTGCATAAGTAGAAAAACATGTATTAGTATTAATAAATCATTGATATTATTATTTATTATTTATTTATATTAACCACTATATCATAGTTATTTTAAGGGATTTTAATATGCATAAATTAATTTGTCTTTCTTTTTACTTTATACACAATTTGAACAATAAAAGAAAAGGCTGAAGGCTGCGATAAAGTTTCTCCTCTTTTTTGTTTTATTATAACCTGTTCTAAATGTTGTTCATTATGTATTATGAATGAAAAATGTCTTATTGTTTGAGGTAATATGCATATAAAAAGTTGCATTAGCTACTTTATCGCTAGCATCGTTTATTAGTTTACATGTGAAGTAAAGGGTAAATAAATTTTTTTTTTAATTTTTTTACCTATAACAAAATAACACACCTTTGTTATGCTATGATTGCTAGAGACTCTTTGAATAACACAGCTATTAATAAAGTATTTGTTGTTTTATTTATGTTACTTATTAATTTTTTTCCTTTCCATTCTCCAGTGTTTTTGTTGTTTGCTGAGTATTTTGATGTTTTGTCGCATAATTGACCATATGCACGGAGCGCTAGAACTTCCGGATAAAGATAAGCCAGCTCATAATCTTCCGGTGAAGCTCATTTTATATATGTGCTAGAGATTAAAATCTTATACAATTTTAAAGCCTTTATTATTTCTCATCAGTAAAATTTCACTTTATTAAAGGTTCACTTTTCAGTCATGTTTTAGGCTTCTCCTTATTTTAATATCTTAGACATCCATCAATTAGTGATGAAAACAATTGCCGTGCTGGTGGAAACAACACGAGACTGTGAAGAGCGGCTCGACGGTGTTTAGTGTCCCGCAGCAGCAGCAGCAGCGAGCGTGCAGTCAGCGCAGCTGAAGAGTTCTGCG